CTTCCTTCATCATCTTCTTCTCTTACTTCTGATACACACTGGCTGCTCTCCAGCCGCCGCTCGGTTCATTCTATTCCAAGTTCAGTTGTTCAACCGCAGAGATGCGGTTCACGGCTTTGATGTGTTTAAACCTCGTGTGTGTGCGCCCTCGTCGGTCCGCCGTCCTCCGAAAGCTCTCTCGCGTTTTAATGCCGCCCCAGACCTGCAAAACCGAATTTCGGGCTGCTGAATTCAGAGAGGAAGAGAAAGACACGCCGTTTGAAGTTCGCCAAATAAATCGAATTTTTCCATCAGAATTTCGCAAATCCGGCGCCACTTTCTTCCGTTTAATTAAAGGATTTTGGGCTAAAACTTTTCGGAAACTAATTTTGTCTCGAGAGGGCGGAGATTTCATTAAATAAATTTCCAACTTCTTCGCATTCCTCGCGCTTAATATATGTACAGAAAAGTACAGCGTGTGTGCTGGCAGAGAAGCGGGATGATTTTTGCCTCTTATTGCTGAGCAAACACGGCTTATTATTTGCATAGTTGGTATATAAGGAGGAAAAAGCCGGCCGGGGATGCCGTAATAAGGGTTGCCGGAGGAGCCGAAGGAGTGTTTAATTACTTCATGCGCTGCAAACCCTTCCTTTCTCTTTACTCCTCACTCTCGACTAGTCCGTCATCTCCCACACACGCGCGCACCCTCCTCCCTCTTCCAATATGCATACGCTTGAGAACTCAAGGTGGACCGAAAGCAACCAGGGGCATTACTTATTCACCGAAATAATTCCGACGCCAGTTCTCGGGATGAGGAAGCAAAAATTTGAGATGGAGTTGCAAGAAGTTTTAAGAGAAACTTAATAAAATTGTGGAAATCATTATTTAGGAATATTATTATAAATTAATAATTGAATTATTAGTTAATATTTACGGAAATTCAAAATTTAATTATAAAACATATACTAGGCAAGGTCCTGGCAAAACGATAAAGTAATAATTTCATTTAGATTCATATCTATAATACTACGTGCATGAAAATTTGTTATTAATTAACAACAACTATAAGGGAAAAAAATGCTCATGTTATCAAGCATTATGATCTAATTAATTAGTAAAAACCACAAAATTAAATATTTAATTTTAAAATTAATTAAAAAATTAAAAATAAAGATTTAAAATATATAAGTATAAAATTTAATTACAATTTATCCTTAAATATTTTGATACTTTGTTTAAAATAATATGTAAGTTATTTATTGGAGAATTCTGGTTTTGTATATTAATTTCCATTATGTTCAAAGGCCCAGTTAACTTTGAATATTTGACTTAACATCCTCGACTCTCTGATATGATTTTGCTCGATTCCCTTTGACTGCTTTGATAGATCCCATTTGAGACTTGCTGCATTTCCGAGTCCGCCACTGCTGCTTCCCGAGGAGGAAAATCGAGAAGGAGATTCTCTGGCCGGCCGCTCTCGCTCTCTCGTCAAAAGGCAACCCTTTCGCTTGATTTTCTAGCCAGCGGTGTGCAGCCTAATGTATCTCATTAGAGGCCGCGCAGTTTGCTCTCCAATTTATCTCTGCCGATGTGCTCTGGCGAAATGCTGCTGACTCACAATCTAATGACTGCACGGTCAGTAAAAAACCACGCGTAGCGCCTCTCTATGGCAACCCCTTTAATTATTTGCCACTTCCCCCCGCAGCTCGAATTTGCCTCCGTAATTGATTAGGAGAGGAAGGAGCCGCCGAGGATTATAGGCGGGGGTGTCTGCAAATTGGACGGACTTCCAACCCCCTGAAGACGAACGTGTTATTGTTTCATTTTTCCGATTTAAACTACGATGATTTGGATATTTATCAAGCACAATAACTGTTGGAAAAAAGGGATATCTGGAGCAAATTGTGTTTTATCAAGAATTTTAATAAAAAATTCATGCATATTTGATATTCAATTGAATTAATTTGATTATCTGTTTTAAGTCGTAATTAAAATCGTGGATAATTCTAAGTATTCAAATTTAACAATGGTAAAAAATTCAAAGACAGCCCAGATCTATGCACCAAGAAATTTTTCAAAATTCTAGTTTGACAAATTTCGTTTTAAATTTCTTTAATTATATTTGTTCTCCATTCTCTGCACGCACGTTTTAAACCTGCGAGAAATATCCAATAATACAAACATATAAATCAATTTTCTAGTTGGTTTTAACAATTAGTTAAAATTTAAGAACATACAAAAATTAAAGTACAATGTTAGGATTGTAAATGCTAGAAAATGTTTTAAATTATATTTTTTTCTTAATTAAAAATCCCAAAACAAACTAAATTTTGTCTACTTTTAGATTTTGATGCAGATAATTTCCATTTTCATGTATTAATTGTTGATTTGATGTCAGATTTTGGGTTATTTTCAATGTTTTTGAATGGGAGAGTAAATAAATTTTAAGTAAAACAATTACGTAAAATCTAACTAAAATTTATTTTTTTATTTTTTTTAGAAGTATTTTTAAGCAATTTTAACCTTGATTCTAAAGTACTAGTTTCCTAAACATGGACAATAAAATTCCTTTTCCTGCATTTGAAGGCACAAACCAGTAAATCACTCTTGTCTCCTGTAACTGCAGCTGGGAAAACAAACTCGGCGACAGCGCCGCTCACTTGGTCGTCCCGACCACAATCAAATTAGCGGCGATAATTGCACCTGTCGCAAAAACACGTGAACGAAATAAAGCGGGGGACAAAGAGAGGCAGAAACTCCCTCTCGGCGTGCGGCGATATCGCGTCTCGTTACACAATGATTATCGCAACAGCGCGTCCTGACAGCAGCCTCCGCTCTCTCGTCGGCGCGCCCCAGAAATTGAGAATCTTCCTCTATTAATAAATCGCCCCCGGCCGACACAGTCATACGCACACACCTACCTGATAACGCCCAAGTGAGTGTAATTTAGTGCCGCGTCGCGAAATTTATATGTACTCAGCGCGGCTTCTGATTGTGCCTCTCGCGGTTTTGAATTTCCGTCGCCAGTCCGTTGCAAATGAAATCCAATTTCAGAAAGGGAAGGAAAGTTCGCAAATATTCCTATATAATTCAGTGGCAGACTTACTTAGACTGTAAGGAATAAAATTGTAATCATTATTCTTTTGGAATTTTTTCAAAAGCTGTAAATTCATAAAATTATAGATTTCCAACTGCACTTTATTGACTTACCAAGAAAATAAGAAAACAATAAATTTTGGTGTCTGATAAAAAAATTATCAAAGCTTAGCAAAATATTAGCTAATCCTTTGCTATTCCAGACGCTACAAAATAAAAAATGCAAATTGAATGTTTAATTCATTCACTATTTTAAATTATATAAGATAAAAAAAAATTGAAGTTGATGTCATAAATAAAGTATTAAATTTAATTTTTATATGATTAAATTTAAAATTGCAAGATTCACTTGAATTTTGCCGACTAAGGATATTATTGAGCACCAGAAAAAGGTTTTCTGAATGGTTTTGTAAAATGTGTTTGTATTATAAATTATGTCAATTGACGTAATAAAATTAATAAAAAAGTGAAAAAATATTTTAAGGATCGGAAATAATGCTAAAAATCTGCATTAGTAATTAATATTTTTTAATAAGTAAATAAAAATGTCTATATAAATATTAATTCTCATTTTTGCGAGTTTTGGTAAATAAGTCCAGTTGGCGTCTTGCAAGTTTTAGGTTAGCGGCGCGAACATGAATTTCTACTCGCGCCGAAACAATGCATTTCGCCCCGGGGGCTTTTCATCAAGCGCGCGAACGCCGTTACATATACAAGAAATCCATTTCAGACCTTTCAAATGCACGGATATGGTTTATTTTATCGTTTTTAAATATTCATCAGCGTCGAGCTGCAGAGGCAGCGGAGCACAACCCTTTCTCCGAGAGAGAGAATTATATTTCCTCTCTCTCTCTCCGATCCATCCGCTAATGCATTATTCCAGTCTCGCTACTGCTGCTGCTGTTTATCATTATTTTCTTTCCTCCGTTTTTAACCAAACTGTCACGACACTATATAGCTGGCTGGTGTATAGTAAGAAGTTTCCCTAGCTGCTTTTCCTTCTGGCACCCTCCTCCTCCTGTCCGTCACAATTATGTGGCAGGCGCCGCTTGCAGTTCCTCTATTTCCTCACGTTTTCTTCTCCTACTTCTTCTTCCTCGCCAAAGTTTCTTCTTATTTATTTACATCCAAGCTCGGCGGGAGACGGAGATAATTATTTCGCGTCGGTCAGGAAGTGCAGTCTCCGCGAGATTGTTGCAACAGAAACGAGAATGAAAGAGATGAGAAAATGTAATTTCTGTATTTTCCCTGACGTTAAATTTGCTAAAATATTGTTTAAGCAACAGCCCGATATAAATACAATAAAAAGCTACGAGATTTGAATTATTAAATTAATCTTTGATGTTTCTGAGTGAAACTTTTTCAGATAAGGTTTTTTATATGAAATATTTCATTTTATCAAAAAACTGTTAAAGACTTCTTTTAAATGTGATCTTAACAAATTGTTTTTTAAATTTACCTTTTTAACACCCACTTTTTATATAGTACGAATTTCACCTAAAATCACACATTTACAAAAATCGCCAATTTAAAATATGATTATTGATTGAAATTAATAAATTATGCGAAATTCCCATCAAGATTTAAAAAGTTTATTTCTGTTGGTATCATATAAAAAACTGAAAAAATGTAGCTGAAAGCAAATTTCTTCTATGAAAGCAATTATTTCTTAACATAATATATGAATTATGAATAGCAAAAAGAAATTTTTTCTGTTTATCAATCAAATTTGTTCCTATATGTTTGAAAATAATCCGCAGCAAATTTGTTACACTAAAAATTAAGAATCACATTAAACTCTAAAGCCAAAAGTTTGTTCATTGAATTTAATGAATTTATCAATTAACTCGATCATTGAAATTACAATCATCTTGACGTGTATTACAAATTGCTTAACTTATGCTTGTTTTGTTTGTTTGCTTCAGGTCTGGCAGGAAGTTGATCGTCAACAATTAAGGTAAGTTGCTGGAATCTGTTTCGTAGGCTAATTGCCACTTTGCCGCTCTCGTCATATATACGCATCCGAGCAAACGCGCTTATAAACCCATCCGTGTGTTATGCAGCAGTCAATTGCGATGAACTCGGTGCACAGGCTGGGAGCAATTCGGGCCAATATGCTGCACATTTCTAGAGACATAAATTTCATGGAGCCGCCGTGTGTTGCTCTTTCGTATATATTGATTGTCAGGCCGTATAATAAGACGTGCATTATTTCCATTCGGAGGCGCTGAAGAGAGAGACACAAACACACAAACTTTTTGGAAAGTTGTATAGCAGTTTGTTTAACTTTGTGTGCATACACATGTTTCCCCATTTGGGAAATAACATGCTCAACACAAAACACGGCCTTGCTGACGGCAAACATCAAATACAATTTATTATCGACGACCCACGCTCTTCGCTCTTACTTAATAGAATTAATTATAGATATGAGAAAAGTTTGTTTTTCGCGAAAAATTATCAGCGCAACCTGTAATTATTCGTGCCTTGTTTGTTTACTTGCTGACGTGTGGATGATAATTATTGTCCGAATGCACGACGACTCTTTACTCAAGTGGCATTTATTTGTGTGTTTGCACTGCATTTGAGGAAATAAGCTCAAGCTATTACAGTGGAGAGCACCTTCTGACACGCAATTACTCGGAAAACTGCGGACGAAACTACACTTTTGAGACCAAATAACACACACGGAAAGTAGTGTATTCTGCGGAACGATGCACCTTTATCTCACAATTTTTGTAAATAAAAAAGTTTCATTTGTTATTAATGCTTCAAATTTTCATAACTGAATACGAATGAAAAGAAAAATTTTTATTAACATAACTCGTGGTAAAGACAATAATCTTAAATTAGATTTATTCAATAAATTAAAATTGTGCCTTGGAAATTCACAAGTAAGTAAGTTCAAATCAGAGAAGTTATAAAATTTTAACCGATTGTGCAATTAGTTCTAAATGATTTATATAAGATTTTTATATGAAATAATTTCAGTTAAATTGATTGATAAAAATTCGATAGAATTTAACATTCACAAGAAATAATGTGCATTTAGCAGCCTTAAAAGAACAATATAGATTCAATTGCTTATACATATAATTAATTAGAATTAAATTTACACCAAGATCTAAATTTAAATATTCAAGTGCTAGAATATGAAGTTTTATTGCACAATAATGAATTTCATTTAAACTTTTTTAATATATTTCCAAATAAAATTCCTGTCTACTTTTGTAAATTTGTTTGCAAGTTTTTCCTGAGGGTGTGTTTCAATTTGAGAGCTTTCGTTGCAATTGGCCGAACCTGCAAAGTAAGATTGAAGACAGTTTGGAAAACTTGCGGTCGGATGATGGTGCATCTCTCTTATCATGTCACACACGCCACTCGTCGCCTCTCACGGTGTCAAAATCCAATCCCATTACCGCGAATTTGTGGAAATTACCTGGGCAAATATTTACGTCGTCAAGGGGAAAATTCAATTTTTGACGCAAATTGCGTTAAATCAACAGCCGGGCCTGTCAAGACCCATATAATGCGACACATCCTCACATGGCGCGCATACTTTTGATACAATTTTCTCCCGAGGATGAAACAATTTGGCCGGCGTGCAATATTAATGCAGCTCGTTTCTCTCTCCCCTGCACAAACACACACACACGTGCATAATTTAAAAGGGTGGAAATATAATAAAAACTCTCTTTATGCCTCCCTCTCGGATTTTTATTTCGCATGCACCTGTTGACGTATAAAAGCGACACGAATAATATAAAAAAAGAGGAAGAAAATATAGAGTAAAAACAATAGGCGCCGCGCAACAATGCTCGTCTGTCTTTTTTGAAAACGCGATCGGCGTGAATTTTTGATGCGCCGATCAAATATGCACCTGAAGTCATGCCCCTGCTTTTGTGCGAGCAATGAATGACACATTCAAATGCACGCCATCGGTTGTTATCTCGAACAGCTGCCAATAATAAAAATGCACAGACACACTTTATGTAAAAAAAATATATAAAACATTTACATCGAGAGAGAGCTTCGTGCCGGAACTGATTGTTTGCACTCCTCATTTCCTATATCAAACACCAAAATTCAAAGGAGAAATAAAAAAACAAAGGTTTTTACAATTGCCTGCACAGATAAACCTTGAAAACAAAAATTAGATTGAATTAATAAATTGGTAAAAAAAAAAAATAGTTTTTACACCCCTTTATTTATTTTTTTCAACGTTATTTACAAGTAACCCAGGAATTTCTTTTTCTTCATTGCATTATTAAAGAAACTGGTAAAAGTTACAGTAGCTAAAAATTATAAAAAGGAACGTCAAAAATATTGCAATTTAAAAAAAATTATTCTGGTTGAATTTTTCACTTTTACATTATTTGTTTAATCTTTTATTTTCTGATTGAAGTCCTACTTTCATTTATTATAAATTAGTATTTATTAAAAAAAGTACTTAATTTATATTGAGATTCATTTCTAATTTTTTTATTTCCATGAAACGGAATCGCCCCCTTTAATCTGCGTCATAATTATTGCCGTAAGCTTCTTCTTCTCTCGAGAGTCTTGATTCAGAACCGTCGTCGTTTTCTCTCTCACTCGTTCTCATTTAGATACGGCGTGCCGTTGTAATAATCAAAGATAAGCTGCCAAGAGGGAAATAAGGCGAAATCCGAAGGAGAGGCACGACTCGGCTGCACTCGACGGGGACCGCCCGATTTACAACACGCGGAAATCAGAACGAAGAGCAGCGGTATATATGGAGTGTTAGGGAGGCGCGCAATCAAAACAAGAATTTCGCCAAAACAAGTCGGGGGAAGAATTATCTTTTAAGTGCACGAGAAGAAGAAGAAGTGGAGCTTCACTTTGTGACCCTTCTTGACGTTTGCGGGACTCAAAATCTGATTGTTTACTTCATGATTAGTTAGAATGAGTAATATTCTTTTATAAATTTTTATAATAGCAAAGGGAACAAGTATTCCAGAAATGAAATTCTGCTAAAAAGAGTTCTCTATTTATGGGGGAATGGATCGAAAATAAATAAGAATAATAAATTAAAGTTTATTATAAAACTTTTAGTAATTATTGGATAAAAGATTATATATTTTTAAGAAAATATTACAAATATATAAAGGGTAAAAAAATATTATAAATGTGTAAAAAAGTATGAGTTTTAAATATATTGAATTGCAATGAAAATTGTCACAAATTTAATATAAATTTTTAGAATAAAGTTTGGAGCATTAATCAAAATGACTTTTTTTATTCGTCTATTAAATTTTTCGTAAATAAGTAGAGGAAATTTTTATATTTTTTTTTACCAGGGATCTGTAAAATAAATTGTATTGAATTTAAAAACTCTAGGCCGGTATTATGTTGAACGAATAATTTCACCTGCTGCTGATTTTACGTGCGAAGATTTTTATTGCTCTCATTTCGCTGCTCTGCAATGATTGCGCCTCTCGATTGCCGCTGACAATAAAAGGGGTGTATCAAATTGCACCCCTTGGGCACCGGGTGAAACGCACACTCGTCGGCAAACACGCTGAATTATTACATTATGCGCCGCTAAAATAATAATAATACGGCACAGCAGCGTGTGTGTGTAATTTACGAAACGAAAGACGGAGCCGAGAAAGCAGCGAGTCGTGATTACACACGGGGCCACTTTTATTATTGCCGAAGCTGTCTGCATACGAGAGAGGCTATGTGTGTGTGTTCTTTATGATTGGCTAATGGCCGTGCTATCGGCGTGGTACAGACTTGCACCGCAGGAAATTAGTCACGCAAATCGGCCCGGCGACCGACCATCTCCTTCTTGCCTCTTCATGCACCACCCTCGGCCCTGAAACTCAAACGCCTGCCCCTAGCTCGATCCCTGCACTGCAAACGTGAAAATTCTGCGGCAGCCCGACGTGGCGGACGACCAGTTCGACTAACACATGCACAGCCGTACGTGTCTGCATGGCCCTTAAATTTCCACCCTTTCCGGCAATTTATATATTTTATATAAAGGCTCTGATATTCGTTGCCAAGGGCCTAGAAAATAGATCCATTTATTTGCTGTTTGGCCTGATCTGAAAATTTAACCCCCATAGTATCAGTCTTTGATTAAAAAGTAAGTAGTTATAAATAGAAATGTTTTTATTTCAAATATTTGCATATTATGATAACGTGTTTGAATTTCATCTCATTACAAACCTCTTTTATTTTCAAATTTCTAACTGAAATTATAATTATTTTCTCAAAGTTTAAATAAACCTTTAAAAAAAAGAGCAGGTTTTTTGATTCAGTAGATTTTAAGAAAAAAAAATCAGGAAGAAAACAAATGTGTGAAGAAATAATGTAAAAATAATTGCAATGGTCCTTTTCATTGATTTTTCTACTTTTTTGTGTGTCTATTTTCAAGAAATTTATAGCTTAACGTTTAGCCTCAAGTGCCCATTTCCAAATTGTTACTGTAGAAATAAATGTTTATTTAAATCAATTAAATTGCCAAAAAATAAAATATTTTGATCCATTTCCAAATTTAAGAGGGAATCCAGTTCTAACTTTTATAAAAAGAACCGCATTTTTTGCCTTCTCTCACTCCATTTTAATCCTGTTTATTTTATATTTCACGAGCACCGCAAGTGAGATCGTTTGCCGAAATCATCACGTCTTTGATGGGTCATTAACTTTATTGCAAATAAACAAGATGCGATAGCGCTCTCTCTCCAGTCCCTCTCCCGTTTATGGAGTAAAAAGGTGTATCCTATCGCTGACCCCAGCAGCAGTAGCTCGACCCGAAGACGGGCAAGTTTATATATTCGCTCTTTTTTCCTCTCCACCTCTCGTGATTTATTCGGCGCTGCTGAGAGAGAGAGCAAGAGCGGAAGAAAGAAAGAAAGCCAGCCGTCGGAGAGAGAAATGTGATTTAAATTTCAAACATAATATCCGAGAGAGAGAAAGTTTTCGGTCCTT